CTGGGGACAATCCCTGCAAGGCCTGAGTGACGTGCACGATGTCCCTTGTGGAGGCCTTCGCAGGGGTCCACAAGCCCTGACACCAGGGTGTGCCCGGTCCCTGCTCAGCCTGTTCCATTTCTGATGGCCCCTGACCTTTTGCTTGTTTTGGGCCCCGGCAGCAGCGAAGCAAGCCCAGAATGCACCAGCCAACTGGCAAGCGATGAGTGATTAGCCCCCTGGCCCTAACTGGCTGGAATGAGGGGCCTTTCAGAGCTAAGTGCCGTAACCCTAGCCCTGAGCCGGCTGTAATTCTAGATGGTGGTGGTCTGGCTGTGGGCGGGGATGGGCCAGTACGAACTGTCTGAGAGTCCTCAGCCAGAGCACGGGAAGAGAGTGCATCACTCTGCAGTCAATTGCAAGTATGAAATTAGTACTGAAATGGAAGTAAATTAGATGCACTAGAGTGACAAGCCAGGATAAGCGATTCTCATTACTAAGGGAAGGCTCTCTGCGGGGGGTGGGGGAGGGTGGGAGATGGGCTCGGTGGGCATCCTCCCTCTGGGTTTTGCTCTCCATCTGAAGTACAATACTGCATATACAGGGAGATTCTCCTTTCTCTTCCCCTTTTCTTTTTTTAAAGATTTATTTAATTCTTTATTTGAGGGGCAGAGTGATAGAGAGATGGGGGTGGAGAGAGAGAGAGAGAGAGAGAGGTCTTTCATCTGCTGGTTCACTTCGCAAGTGGCTGCAACAGCCTTGGCTGGGTCAGGCCGAAGCCAGGAGCCTGGAACTCCATCAGGTCTCCCATATGCACTTGGGCCACGTTCCTCTGCTTTCCAGGTGCATTAGCAGGGAGGTGGTTTCGGAAACGCAGCATCTGGAACTCACACCAGTGCTTTTAATGGGATGACAGTGTTGCGAGCAGCGGCTTAACCCACCCAGCCACAAGGCTGGCCCCTCATTTCTTTTTTTCTTCATGTCCTACCTACTGCTCTGTGGCTTTGGGCAAGTAGCTTAACCCCTCTGAACCTCTGTTTCCTCAAAGATATCACGAGGGGTAGTTCATGTCTCAAAGAGAGTTAAGGAATGACCGACTGGCTTATGGGAGGCTGTCGCTGTCCATCATGTTGATGGAGTCCAAATCTAGATTTGAGCCCTGCTGAGAGTTGCTATTTTGGAGATACCAGGGCACTGGAGACAGGCCGTCTGTGCTTGCAGTGTGATCACAGGTGTGCGTCCGTCACACTGCTCCACGGGAGGTCAGCGCCTTCATGCAGGCTGACACGTGGCACAGAAGCCGCCGGCTGGCATTTCAGCAGACATCCCCTGTTCCCACTGTCGCCGCAGCCATGAGCTGTTCTGTTAGCACCAGAACGTCATAATGAGCATAATAGATGTGTTAGATTGGTTTTCACTGGGGGAGAGATGGATTTGCTAATAAGCCCAGTTTTGTGTGTGTGTGTTTTTGTTTTGTTTTGGTGTTTTTTTTTTTTTGAGAGAGAGCTACACAGAGAGAGAGGGAAGGACAAAGAGAAAGGTCTTCCATCTGCTGGTTCACTCCCCAAATGGCTGCAACGGCTGGAGCTGAGCCGATCTGGAGCCAGGAGCTTCTTCTGGGTCCCCCACGTGGATGTAGGGGCTCAAGCACCTGGGCCATCTTCCACTGCTTTCCCAGGCCATAAACAGAGAGCTGGGTCAGAAGAGGAACAACCAGGACACAAACCAGTGCCCATATGGGATGCCGGCACCACAGGCAGAGGTTTAACCTACTATGTCGCAGCACTGGCCCTAGAAATGAGTTCTTATCATTAAAATCAGTGGCATCCAAGATACACTTATCGGCTAGAGTAATTTATCAACTTATCATCACTTCCTGCCCTTGCATGAGAAGAACAAAGAATCCACTAGGTCCTCTACACTAGGTCCTGAGGCTCCATTCAGAGCTGACCTGTGTCCAGCCCCGGCATCAAAATATCTTCATGGCCCAAAGCCTTAAAGCTGACCAGATCCTGCTTCTAGACCTCGAGGTCCCCCACAAGCAAACTTTTTGTGCCAGGCATGGTTAGAGCCGTAATCAGCTTTCACAAGTTATCTGGCTATTGGCAGATAAATGTGTCTAGTAAGTGCACAGACCGTGGCAGTATCTGATCTGATGTGAAGTTGGGAGGTGAGGTTGACTAGCCCACAGCAACCCATAATAGGGAGCTTCCTGTACCCACCAAGATCCTCTTCATGCTTTGGGCGTGACTAAGTTCATTTTGGTCATTAATATATGTCAGGGCTTAACTACGTGTTTTATGTTATTTCACTTAACCCTCAGAACAGATCTGTGAGCAAGCTTATTATTATTCCAAGATAAATTTATCTTTTCAATTCTGTTTTCCAGGAATCTTTGTTTTTAATAAAAAAAAAAAAACAGTTGAGAGAGACAGGGACAGACAGAGAGAGCCCCCATCCACTGGTACATCACAGGGCCAAGGCCAAAGCCGGGAGCTGAGCGTGCAATCCAGGTCTCCCACGTGGAGGAGGGGAACCAGCGACCGGAGCCCTCACTGCTGCCTCCAGGGTCTGCGTCAGCAGGAAGCCGGAGTCAGTCCAGACACTCGGATGTGGGATGAGACCTCTTAACCTCTAAGCTACAGGCCTTTGCCCCCAGTTTGTCTTAACCACGGCAGAGGAGACGGGGAGATGCCAGTGCCCGAGGTCGCACAGCTGCTAAGAGGAGCGTGGAGCAGCTGCGGGGGGAGCCCTGGTCTCAGCCACTGCACCAGCTTCCTGAGAGCACCCGAGGGCGGGCTTGGGTAGCTGGGTCCCTCCCGCAGCGCTGTCTGCATCCTGACTCAGCTGCCCGCTGCACCATCCTGTCTTCATGCAGCCGCCTTCACACGGAGAAAGCTGCCCTCGGCGACGCCGCCGTCACCCCTCCTGCCAGCCTCGCCTGCTTGGCCCCATTTCTCGCCGGTTTCTCTTTCCTTCTTTTCTTCTCTCATCTTTCATGGAGACGCTTAGGATCTGAGAACTGGAAGATCTGGCCCACTGCCTGGGGCATTTGTGGGTGTGCGGGGCCCAGAGGTGGCTGTCCAGGCTGGCTTGGGTGTCGCCCGGTCAGATGCTCACACACAAGGTGCCCACACCAAACCCAGATGGCCCAGGCCCCTCGGGACTCTCCTCATTGGCCAGGAGTGCTGCTTGTCACTTCTTGTCACTTTGCCCACGGCGTTCTCTCCAAAGTCTGGTCTCTGTCACGTGATAGCCCCGCAGGGGGTACCAGGATAGAGTCAGATGTCGGATGTCCCTATGCGTGCTCCCTTAGGGAGGGCCCAGAGATGGCCGATGCCTTGAGATGAAGTGCGGGGTCTCCTGCAGTTTCCCCACGGGAAGTTCTGGAAGCTGAAAGACTGGCTTCTGAGGGGCTTGTCCTGTCACCCGTGCAGGCCAGTGTCCCAGCTGCTTGTCTAACCAGTAGGGCAGCCAGGACTCGAACCGGTGCCTGTATGGGATGCAGGCACTGCAGGCCAGGGCTTTACCCCACTGTGCTGCAGCGCCTGCCCTGTCCCAGGGACTTCCAGTGCTTATCTCTGCTGTCCTCATGTGCTTGCAGGGAACTCCCATAAGGAGGTGTGGATTTCCCTTCCACTAACCGCTCCGTTCCTTTTCCAGTGTGGTGGTGTGTGCTGACCTGCGGAGAGGACCTGAGGCTTGGGAGTAGAGCCAGGGCCTTGGACAAGTCAATGTGCCCGAGTATCCGTTCCTCCATGAAGTAAAGGGGGCCAGGAGCGGCTATAGTGGCAGCAGGACCCCAGTAAACGCCCCTGTCAGTGCCATGCAGAGGGCTGAGGTGCGATCTGGAAGCACTCAAGAAATATAGCTCAGGAGCGGGCACCTAGCCCAGCGGTAAAGAGGCTTGCCTCCCGCCCTGGGGTGCCTGGGTTCGATTCCCAGCTCTGGCTCCTGAGTCCAGCTTCCTCCTAGGGCACACCCTGGGAGGCAGCAGTGATGACTCAGGTAGTCGAGTCCTTGCCACCCGCCTGGGAGGCTCCCGGTTTTGGTGTGGCCCAGCCCCAGCTGTTGTGGATTTTTGGTGAGTGAACTGGCAGATGGTAGTTCTGTCTGGCTGTCCGTCTGTCTCTCTATTTCTCTGTCACTCAAATAAATAATAATAAAACATGAAAACAATAAAAGAAATGTCACTCTGCATTACAGAAGGTACTGCCACAATTTGCACAGTCCCAGCCAACTGTGATGTGTGAATTAACGGGGGCAGGGCCCTCCTCCTCCCCTTGGCCTGGGATTCTTTAATGTTGCAGAGAGCAACCACTAGGGGGCACACTTTCACCACTTGAAAGCCTAGGCCCTGTTTCCCAGATTTCTTTACCAGTGCGTTTTCCCATCCAAAAATGATGTGGACATGAACCCGAGCATGAGGGAAGCTTTCAGGTGGAGGGGATGTCAAGAGTTGGAGAGGACCTGGGAATATTGGAACGTTCTCTTTTATTTATTTATTTTTATTTTATTAGAAAGGCAGAGAGACATATGGAAACTGACACACAGAGAGATCCTCTATCTGCTGGTTTTCTCCCCAAATCCCCACAACAGCCAGGGCTAGGCTAGGTCAAAACCAGGATACAGGAGCCAGAAACTCAACCCAGGTCTCCCCCATGGGAGGTAGGGACCCGAGTACTTGAGCCATCATCTGCTGTCGCCCAGGGTGTGTGTTAGCAGGAGCCAGGGCTCAAACCAGGTACTCTGCATGATGTGGGATGCAGACGTCCCAAGCAGCATCGTAACCACTGCACCAAATGCCCACCTCCAAAACTGGAACTCTTGTGTGTTTCTGGTTGCAGTGTAAAATGGTGCAGCCACTGAAGAAAATATAGTAGTGCCTCAAAAACTTGAATATAGAAATACTATGTGACCCGGCAGTTCCACTCGTGGGTGTTGTGGGCATTTGGGGACTGTACCCAAAAGAATTGAAAGCAGGGCTTACACAGATATTTATATCTCTGTGTTCACAACAGCGCTATCCACAATGGCCAGAAGGTGGAAGCAACCCAAAGTCCTCGAATAGATGAATGGATAAGCAAAATGTACGAATACCTCCAGTGGAATGTTAGCCTTGAACAGGAGTGGAATTCTGATACTTACCTCCACTTGAAAACACCGTGCTATGTGACCTAAGGTAAAAGGACAAATATCATACGATTCTATTTTTTGAAGTGCCTAAATTAGGCAAATTCATAAGGAAAAGCAGGCCAGTGATTACTATGGGCTGGAGGGAGAGGGCACTGGAGAGTTACTGTTTAATGGGTAGAGCTTCAGTTTGCAAAAATGAAGAAGTGCTGGACCTGGGTGTCTGTGCCAGGTGCACAGAGCTCTGAACGTGCTTAATGCCACTGCATCGTTCATGCAGGAATCACGGAAATGAAACATTTTTATCATTTTTACGTTGCATACTCTTTATCACAATTTTTAAAAATTAACAAAATTTGAAAGAGTAGATTCTTGGATCCCACAGTGTTGACTGCACAGGTTTGGGAATTTTTTTTTAAAGATTTTATTTATTTGAAATGCAGAATTGGCAAGGAGAGATCTTCCATCCACTAGTTCACTCCCCAAATTCCAGGGCTGGGCCAGGCTGAAGACAGGAGCCTGGAACTCCATCTGGGTCTCCCACATGGGTAGCAGGGGTCTAAGCACTTGGGACATCCTCTGCTGCTTTCCCAGGCACATTAGCAGGGAGCTGAATCAGAAATGGAGTACTGGACTTAAACCAGCACCCGGGTGTGATTCCAGCCACGTGGGCAGCGGCTTTACCCACTATGCCACAGTGCTGGTCCCTCGCCCAGGAATGTCTGTGAGCTTCTGGGGTTTTGGTGCAGCTGGTGTTAGGGATGGTGGCTGTTTCCCAAAAGCCCTGTGTGAGGATTGCACGCCACTGGGGACTTCAGTGTGCACATGGTCCCTTCCAGAGTGTGAAAGGCTCTGGACCTGGCTGTGTCTCAGTTTCCCATCTCTAAAATGGGACTGATGAGGCCCCCTCCCTAGTAGAGTCTTTGTGAGAACTGGAGCAGGGGCAGGTGTTACTATCACCGTGACAGGTGACTGGAGATGATGGCTTCCTTTGTGATGGGTTTGTCCACTGATTGGCAGCTCAGATCTGCCCCCAGGATAAATCCAGTAATCTAGTCTGGGGTTATTCTAGTGGCAGGGTCTGTCCCGTGAGACAAGGATGAGGTGATGCATCCTGGAATAGTCTAATGGTTTCATTTTAAGCCATTCAGCTGTGCTTAAATTTTTAAAATTATTTTTTACTTATTCGGTCTGTGTGGAGAGAGTGCATGCTCCCATTCTCTAATTTACTCTCCAAATGCCCACTACAGCCAGGGGGAGCAAATCTGGGAGCTGGGAACACAGTCCAGCTCTCCCATGTGGGTGACAGGAGCCTAATTTCTTGAGTCATCACTGCTGCCTCCCAGGGTCTATATTAGCAGGAAGCTGGAGTCAGGAGTTGGATCTGGAAATCACTGAATCCAGGCACAGGTGTGTTTGGGCGGGGCAAAGCCAGGAGCCAAAACTCAATCCAGGTCTCTCACATGGGTGGCAGGGATCCAAGTAATTTGAGCCATTGCCTACTGCCTTCCAGGTGTGCATTAGCAAGAAGCTGGAATTGGAAACAGAGTTGGCACTCAAACCCAGCTACTCCAATGTGGGATGCAGGTGTCCTAAGTGATGTCTATTTATTTGTTTAGTTTTAAAGAGTTACAGAGGGGGCCGGCGCCGCGGCTCACTAGGCTAATCCTCCGCCTAGCGGCGCCGGCACACCGGGTTCTAGTCCCGGTCGGGGCGCCGGATTCTGTCCCGGTTGCCCCTCTTCCAGGCCAGCCCTCTGCTGTGGCTAGGGAGTGCAGTGGAGGATGGCCCAGGTGCTTGGGCCCTGCACCCCATGGGAGACCAGGAAAAGCACCTGGCTCCTGGCTCCTGCCATCGGATCAGCGCGGTGCGCCGGCCGCAGCGCGCCGGCCGCGGCGGCCATTGGAGGGTGAACCAACGGCAAAGGAAGACCTTTCTCTCTGTCTCTCTCTCTCACTGTCCACTCTGCCTGTCAAAAAAAAAAAAAAAAAAAGAGTTACAGAGGGCCGGCGCCACGGCTCAATAGGCTAATCCTCCACCTGCAGTGCTGGCACACCGGGTTCTAGTCCCGGTCGGGGCGCCGGATTCTGTCCCGGTTGCTCCTCTTCCTGTCCAGCTCTCTGCTGTGGCCGGGGAGGGCAGTGGAGGATGGCCCAAGTGCTTGGGCCCTGCACCCGCATGGGAGACCAGGAGAAGCACCTGGCTCCTGGCTTCAGATCAGTGCGGTGTGCCAGCCGCAGCAGCCATCTGGGGGGTGAACCAACGGTAAAGGAAGACCTTTCTCTCTCTCTCTCACTGTCCACTCTGCCTGTAAAAAAAAAAAAAAAAAAAGAGTTACAGAGAGGCAGAGGCAGTGTGTGTTTTGTGTGTGTGTGTGTGTGTGTGTGTGTGAAAGAGAGAGGGGGGGAGAGAGAGAGAGAGAGAGAGCACTTCCATCCATTGGTTTACTCCCCAAATGGTTGCAAAGCCAGAGTTTAGTCAATCCAATCAAAAACCAGGAGCTTCTTTTCAGTCTCCCACCATGGGTGCAGGGGCTCAAGGACTTGGACCATTTTCTGCTGCTTTCCCAAGTGCATTAGCAAGGAGCTGGATTGGAAGTGGAGCAGCCGGGAATAGAACCAGTACCCGTACTGAGATGCTGCTATTACAGGTGCCGGCTTTACCTGCTACGCCTTGGTGCCAGCCCTCCACCTGATGTCTCAACCATTGCGCCAAATGCCCAGCCCCTGAGGCATTTTCTTTTTTTTAATTTATTTTTTTAAAGATTTTATTTTATTTATTTGAGAGTTGGAGTTACAGACAGTGAGAGAGAGAGAGAGAGAGAGAGAGAGCGAGAGCAAGGTCTTCCTTCTGTTGGTTCACTCCCCAAATGGCCGCAACAGCCGGAGCTGAACTGATCCGAAGCCAGGAGCCAGGTTCTTCTTCCTGGTCTCCCATGTGGGTGCAGGAGCCCAAGCACTTGGGCCATCCTCCATTGCTTTCCCAGGCCATAGCAGAGAGCTGGATTGGAAGAGGAGCAGCAGAGACTAGAACCGGCGCCCATATGGTGTGCCGGTGCCACAGGTGGAGGATTAACCTACTGCACCACAGTGCCGGCCCCTGAAGTGTTTTCTTATAAAAGAAAAACCTCATGGAAGAAATCACACTATGGGGCTGGCGCTGTGGCGCACTAGGTTAATCCTTTGCCTACGGTGCCAGCATACCATATGGATGCTGGTTTGAGTCCTGGCTGCTCCACTTCCAATCCAGCTGTCTGCTATAGCCTGGAAAAGCAGCAGAGGATGGCCCAAGTGCTTGGGCCCCTGCACCCAAGTGGGAGACCCAGAAGGAGCTCCTGGCTCCGGATTGGCACAGCTCCGGCCATTGTGGCCATTTGGGGAGTGAACCAGCAGATGGAAGACCTTTCTCTCTGTCTCTCCCTCTCACGGTCTATAACTCTAATCTCTCAAATAAATACAATCTTAAAAAAAAAAGAAGAATTCACACTGTACAAACAGAATAGAATTTATGGCAGAAAGTGAAGGAAGATTTTCATGTGATTTGTTTCTGGGACTTCTGTTTATTACATGGTGTGAGGTTTATTACATGGTGTGTGTGTTATGTCTGTAACTTAGAAGGAAGGTGCAGTTACTGCAGTTACTGCTGTAGGTATTATGTGCCTGTCTCCTCCCCTTCAGAACAGTGCCAGCAGTAAAACCACAAATACCCACTCCAGATGATATCCTCACATAATAATATGGAGGCTGATGCCTTAGTAATTAGCAATTTACAAAGCACGCTTACCTCCATTATCTCATTTAATTTATGGCTTGGTTTTGTGGAAAAACAGGTGGCGTTTTACCCATTTTCTAGCTCAGAAAGCACATGCGTAAGAAATGCATCACTGTTGTCTTAGCTGCATCTTATTTTTTTTAATCACCTGATCCTTTAAGCATTGTCTTTGATTCTCTCTGCTGTGCTCTAGTCCTGTAATAAAATATGTTGATAACCCATTCATTTTCGGATAAGCATCCTTAACCACAACTGCCCAGATGGAAAGCTACCTGGACTTGAGACGGGCCGATCCGTGCAATCCTGGCCAGACAGGAGCTCGTGCTGCTGTGTTCCCCTCTCAAGGTTATCATACAAAACCCCTAAAAGCTAAATACCCCCTGCATGTATGTTTCAGTGGAACTATGTGTTTGGTCTGCAGAAGCGTGTGAGTGTTTGGTGGCCCAGGGCTTCCTTTCACGAAGAGCTGTGAATGGCTGTTGCAGCCTGGCCCGCCCGGCTGTGCTCGTGGTGGTGGCGGGGGCCGGGGGGGGGGGGGTTAGCGTATGTGTGGCTTGTGCTGATGCTTACCTGCAGTGCACTACAATTGCAAAGATTTCTTTTTAATTTGTGGCTATTGGTGGCCACAAGAAAATGAAAATGTATTTGAACTCCGCACATGCTTCCATTTAAATCGTGACTCAGTCTCAGATAGCATTTGTAAACCAAGGATCTCTCCAGGACTAGCTAAACAATTACAGGCCCAGTACAGAACGGAAGTCAGGGGCCATTTGTTCAAATATGAGGACTTTAAAGATGAAGCATCAGAGCACGAAACCAAGGGCAGGCCCTCCGCAGGGTCACAGGCTTCATGGCTGTGATGCAGTGCTGTGTCTGTCTGATAGTTGTTACAGTTGCTATTTGTTTATTGATAGACTGGTTGGTATAGAGCATTAACACATTACACATTTTAAAAGATGCAAAAATAATCTCTAGCTCCCTTCCTTATGGGAGTCACTGCCACCAGTATCTTATGTTTCTGTCCATGGGTTTTCATTGATTTGCAAGCGTATGTACATACAGTGTACTATCTGCCTTACTTCAAGACATACACATAGATAGTGACATATTTTACATGTTGTTCTGCATTTTATTTATTTTTAAGCATATCTTGCATATCATCCCTTATCCCTACAGGTAATGTCTCCTTATTCTTTCCCATGGATGTTTACTATTGCACTTTACAGACATAACACAATTTATTTCATCGGTCCCCTTTGTTGGATCTAAAGGCTGCTT